ATACAATGTGGCTGGACCCCAGCTTCCCCCAACCCACTCAGCAGGCTGTCAAAGCCACTTCTGAACAGCATGTTTAGTATTAACCTGGTGTTCCCACTCAGGCAGCTGCTCTGTCGTGGGATGGAACCATTTTGATGTGTCTGCTCTTCTCACACTCTGTGCCTCTGATCTCTTATCACCCTAAGCAGAGAGGATCTAATTGCTTGGTTTGTTACAGTCTGAAAGGGAGGTCCCTGTTGATCAGCCTGTGTCTCTCGTGCAGTGATGCTTGGACTCATCAGTAGCTGCCAGGGAAGCAGGGTCAGTGTTGGGCAGTGCACATGGCTTTGAACACCCCAGGAGCACTACTGCAGGAACTGCTGAGGCCTTTCCTCAGGAGGAAGCAGTGCAACTGGCAGGAACTTGGAGCTTTCTTAGCGTGTCCATTATACCCAGCTCTGCTCAACTCCCCCCGCCCGCCCCCAACACGAGGCGATTTCATTCTTCCACTCCTCCCCTTCTTCTTCCTAGACCTAAGCCCACCTCTGTTTGGCAGTCTTCATCTCATTTTTGAGGACTCTGCTTATTAAGGATCAGTTCTTCCATGAAGTCATGAGAGTACCAAGTGAGAGGACTCTGATTTTTCAGCCTTTCGCTTCCTCGTTGTTCCCGAGGAATATGATACGTTCCTTTCCATCAAAGTGCCCCTCACTGCACCTTCATACACAGATCACTAGCTTACAAGATGACAGTACAGGTAGTCCCCGGTTTACAAAGTGTTTGAGTTACCACAAACTGCTCCTCTGACTTTTTTTTTTTTTACAGTTTTTTCGTTGGTAATATGTATCACAATCAGTGTTGCAGCATGTAATTTGCTGATGTTATCATTCTCAGATGTAATGTTTCCAACCCTCAAAGGCAAAGGTTGAATTTATAAAGATACTGATTGTAAAAGGCAATAATAATGAAAACTTAAAAAAAATATGAGGTATTCGACTTAAATATCAGAACTGACTTATGACGGAGTCATTGTAAGTCAGGAACTACCGGTATTTAAAATTTATTTTACCTCTTTTTGTTCCCTTTGATACTATGGCTGATTACCCCACCAAACTGTATGCAGAGTATTATGATAGCAAAAAGCAAATGCCAGAATCATGTTTACCTTATTTAGCAGTCGAAGATAAATCACAGATTACAAATAAGATTGTTTTTGAGTATTGGTGTATGTGTATTCCTTTGAAGTAAGGACTGTATGTTTTGGATAGCTTGAGGTAGTTACCTTTCTCTCAAATGTTCAGAATATTTAAAATGTAATTTAAATAAAAAACGATTGATAGCTGGAGAGGTGGATGTGGATTGGCATAGATCCAAAACTTACTCATTTCTTCCCTTTGCAATTTTTATTTTAAATTTTAACTTCGGAACTTTTTTCAAAATATGGGAAATAAAGTGGTATAATATCTAAGTGCCTAACAAATGTTAACATTGTATTTTTTGTTTAAATTTTTTTGTTTGAAAAATAAAACATTACAAAAATGCATCTGAAGCGCAGCCCTTCCCAGATTCTCTGGATTTATTTTGATACTTTTACTACATATCTATATATCCATGACAATATACAGTATGTTCTAAGAGGGTTTTTAGGAGTCCTGGTGGTGCAGTGGTTAAAGCATTCAACTGCTAATTACATCAAAACGGTGGTGGTTCCAACCCACCAGCCGCTCTGAGGGAGAAAGATGTGGTAGTCTGCTTCCA